TCATTGTTTGCAAAGGCAACTATTCTAAATTCTCAGATTGAACCTTTTGTAAATGGTAGAAAAGTCTTTTCAGAGCTGAAAGAACGAAAAACTATAAATATTTTAACTCCTTTTTTTCAGTTTTTAAGCAAAAATGCCAAATAACACTTAACTGTGAGTACGTATTGCTTTACTCTATATTGTAAGAAAATAAATGAAGATTTAGGCTGCCAATTAGGCATATCTGAAGATTACATAGTTATTCAACTTCTTGTTACTATCCCCCCTGTCTAGAGTTTGCAAAAAACCCTGCTTTTTAATATGTTGTTGTTATGAGAAGTATCTTCAAATCTGCCTTTAAGTTTTAAATTCAACTTTGGGCATTAAAATTGATGAAGTTTTGGGCCGATGTTGACGAAACGGTTTGGGAACCCTATGTTTAAAGATCCTGCCAGAAAAAAGGCCATTCCAAAGAAAAACACAAGTATTTTTCATATGGGACTAAACAGCTGTGTAGCTTTAAGAAATTTGCCCAATATGTCTCACTAACTGGGAATCCTCACTAGTGAATATTGAGTTTCAGTTCCTACCTTTTGGATGAAGGTTTCTGGTGCCAAAGTGCCCAAAGGGTATTTGGTAGGTGACCTGAACGTGAACTGCATAACGTTACTGAAACAATGCCAGAGAGAATGTGGGCCGTCATCAAAGCTAAAGGCAATCCAGTGAAATATTGGTGTATGATTGTGCAGTGTATATGTTTTAACACTATGTTAAAGTGCTGTGTGGCACTTTTCAAAACCTAGTGATTTTAAAGACCACAAAAATAATTTATAATCAACTACATGAAAAAAAATACGGAGTTAAAGTGATAAATAAAATCACATAATAAATCCTGAACAAACTGTGTGAATCAAATCATCATTGGTGTCCCAGAGAACACACATTTTTCCCTAAAAACCTTTGACATGGAGTTAAACTGGTCTCTAGGCCTGTGTGACTCTGAATTTAGTTGGAGAAAGCATGGCTGTATGACTTTGGCACAGGTCAAACGAAGCATTGGTAATTCCTAATAAAAACATTTTGCATTTTCAGTAATTTTATATATTTGGGTTGTGATCAAACATATTAAAGCCATAAAATACTGTTAAAATACTGTTAATGTCCAGATAGATTTTCAGGAAATGTTTAACATTTTTAACGTGTCAGGAACAAAAGTCTAATTACATTGTTCGTCTTGATGATTGAGAATGCATCAAGACGAGGAGTCAAGGAGGCCATTTACGTGAAAAGGGAAAGAGGGGGCCTAAGGGTAGATCTTTCACCATCTTACAATGCTGTGATTGCAGCCATTCCCCAACTCTCTGTGAATGGTACTCATGGCCATTGATCAGTGGCCTTTGATCAGTGGGTTTTGGTCAGTGGTTATTGATCAATGATCATGAGAATTTGCATAATTAAGATTAAGGAACTGACCTTCCAGCTCATTGTTCCTTCAGTGGGCTGGTTTCAGTCATTATGCAAATGTACTGTTTATAGGTTTGGGGAAACCTGCAGTCAGCTGAGACTGAAGAAGTCACTTGGATGAATGACGAAACGTTTCTCCCACAAAATGCTACGTCCAGATGAACAGAATCAACTTTTTGGATAATTACACTGTTGTTCAACTTATAAACAAGAAAGCATTAATTTTGGATATAAATGTTAATTTGATTCTATATGTAACAGTTAACACACTGTGTGCATATTTTATTACTATGCGTTAATGAAAACAATGTCCTAAATTTTTAGCAGATTAAATTAATGTATATGTGTGATATTTACATTAAATGTTACAAAGCACTGAACAGAACATATGAAAATCTGTTTAAGTGTTAATACACTGTGTTTTACAGTGCTACTGTATCCTTCTGCAACTGTCTTACACTGCCTTCACTTCTGTGTGTTCTCGTGCCGTCAGTCTTATAATTTATTTAACAAATATTTTATTAAACATCTGCTTGAGATATAAACCAGATGTTATCTAATGATAAGAAATGGTAAAGAGGAGACTTAATCTATCATTTGTTCTTCTTTCATTGTGATTCTCACCTTCATCACAAAAGGTCCACCGCTGTCTCCCTCACAGGCGTCTCCACGATGGTTATCGTCTGGTTTATAACCTGAAACAACCAGAGACTGTAATTATAGAGAAACTTTGACACCTTCAGGAGATGCAGGATCATCCTGAGAGAAACAGCCAAATTCCATTCAGAACAGCCAATGAGACGGCAGCATCACTCAGCACACCAGGGCTTTATTCAGGATCAAACAGTTGGACCAAAAATAAGCCAAAGATAAAATATAAACAAGCATTTTCTTGTTGAACAAATGTGGAAAATCTTTTGTTTTGTTTTACCAGCACAGAACATGTTGTCTGTGATCTTGACTGAAGTGGAGCTGCGGCAGATGTTCTGGTCCACTATCGGTAGGTGGATTTGCTGAAGGACTGATGGTAAATTTCTCACTGCAGGGTTCCAGCTTTCCTTCAGGTTCCCCCACCCGGTAACTCGGCCCTTAAAGCCTTCAGACATCAGACTGCCGGAAAAAATACCAGTCAGATATATCACAAAGCCTGTCACCATCCATAGTATAAACCTCACTGAACCAAAGTGTCTCTGACCACAGTTCTTAATAGCACCCTCTACTGGCGCAGTCTTTGCATTACTTTAGACTTTCCAATAAGACAGAAAGAATCTGTGGGATCTGAAGAATCTTTTAACCCCCTGCAGAATAACTGGAGAAAGGAAAATTGATATCTATGCAGAAATAGCTATGTGACCAAGTTTGAGGACCTGACTTGATTTAATCAAATTGTTGTTTACTGAGGACTTTAAGCAAACTCCTTGGCACAATAATAAACTGTGTTGATACCTCCCCAATTAATATTTCTAGCAGTATTCAACACCATATGAACAAAATAATCTCTCCAGCAAGCTCTATGTCGGACCCAGAGTCTCCCCCATATTGAAACGCTCCAGATCACTTGACAAAACTGGAAATTCAATTCTCTGTTCAAGACACATTTTCACTTGTTTCCTTTCATTTGGTGGGAAATATAATTAAAGAATTTGGTCTGAACTTGTCAACTTGTAATTGGTTGCAAATGTTGCGTTTGTCTTACAACTTGGCGACGGGCTTGCTGGGCAGGCAGATAGGATGGATCTTATCAGTGAATGTGACCGGCCTTCTCATGTGCAGCAGAGCGATGTCACGGTTCAGGTTTTCTTTCCAGTTGTACTTGGGGTGGACAATGATTTCATCAATTGCCACAATCTTCTCAATGCCACGCTCAAACCTAGAAAAAAATGACATAATTCCAACAGGCCTTCAAATGAAACTAATGATAATTAAGACAGACACGCCTTCTTACTGGGCTCTGTTGTGTTTTCCCAGGCGGACCAGTATATCGGTGATGGTGAAGTTCTTGTTCCAGGGTGGGTAAAGGATGCAGTGAGCTGCAGTGAGGATCCACTGATCACTGATCAGACTGGCTCCACACAAAAACTCCTGTGGGCTACGCTTGTACAGCATCACCTGCCTGCAAACAACAAAATTATTTATTAAGTTAGAAATATAAGTTGAGTCAAAAACAGTTTGTATCTTAATGGTTCTTTTATTTATTTCTGATTGGCAGGATCCCAGAACCATTTTTCTTTTATTGATTAATTGTAGTGAGTCAATTTTTCTGTCTTGGTGTGTTTTCTAAGGACATTGTCAAGATTTAAAAGCTATTGATGTTTCTTCTTTTCGGTATATTCTTGGCAAAGGAGAATCTTCATTGGATGTTTGCTCTTACAGTTCTAATGGGCAGAGTGAGGCCTGTAGATTCTGTTGGATCTACAGTGGAAAAAACTTGAGCTGTTCCAGCTGTCGTTATGGAGAATCTAAGTTTGGACAAATCTATGGACAAGCTCGCTGAGTCGATTAAAAACCATCGATGGACACTTGTTGACTGTACCGCCCTTCAGGAGTTTTCGAGCAGACAGAAACACCAATCTGAGTGTGTCTGTGAAGGTTCTCAGTCATCCAGGTCATCGTAGTCAAAGGAGATTGCAAAGAAAAGCGTCTGGACTTCTTTAAGTTGCTTGAAGACGTTTC